TCTGCCGCGGCGGCGGCGGCCAACTCCGCTCGGTCGCCTTGGCGGTGCCCAGTGCACGGGAGTCGGGCAGCCGCCCCTCGCCGCCGCGGCCGAGGGACAACAGGCGCCACTGGCTCTGTTCCCGGCGGAGCGTCCTGACGGTTCTGGGGTGGGGACCTCAGACCGCAGCGCCCCCTCCGCGTCCGGGGCCCTCGAGCATGTGCCGGGACTGCGTGTGTGTTCCACTTAGCAAATGCCGGTAGCAGAGTGGCCGTACCTTTAGTCCCATGCAGGTACGCAGGGCTCCCCTACCCACAGCCACAGGCCCGTGCACCAGCAGCAGCGTTGCGTCCCCTGTGGGTATGGACTTTAGATGCATTCCTAACCAGCGTAGTCTGGTTTCGCCTAGTTTGAATACGGTAGACGTGTCACGTTTGTGTGTAGTCTGTGTGCAGTGTGTGTCACTCCATTGCTGTGGAATTGCATGCTCATCCTACACCACGCTGCCCCTTCTATTCTAGGGAGACAGTTTCTACCTAGTTTCTTTTTTCTTTGTGAAAAATGCTCATGCTAACATTATTATATGCTCAGATATATTTCTCTAAGAATGAGATTGGTGGTATTGGTATTTTTCAAAGTAGTTGTATTAAATAGTATTCCTTGGCAAAATGTCTGTCTAGTGGATGTGTAGTATTACTAGATGATCTTAATTTGTGTCTGCCTTGATCAAACATTTTTATTTGCTTTCTCTCATGGGATATCTGTTCAAAGCTTTTTTTCTGATTGCATTTAAAAATATGTATGTGTATATATATATATATATATATATAGTCAGTTGTGGGTCTTGTACTCTGGGCCTGGGCACTGTCCTTCAGCTCTTCAGCTCAAGGCTAGCGCTCTACCACTAGAGCCACAACACCACTTCCGGTTTCCTGGTGGTTTATTGAAGATAATCTCATGAAGGAGCTGGGAAGGTGACTCAGTGGTAGAGCACTTGCCTTGCATTCCTGAGGCCCTGGGTTCTATTCCTCAGCACCACATAAGCAGAAAAAGCCGGAAGTGGTGCTGTGGCTAAAGTGGTAGAGCACTAGCCTTGTGCTGAAGAGCTGAGAGACGGCGCCCAGGCCCAGAGTTCAGGGCCCCTCAACAAAACAAAAAAAGAATCTCATGGGCTTTCCTGCCCAGACTGGCTTTGAACCGTAATCCTCAGATCTCAGCCTCCTGAGTAGCTAGGATTACAGGTGTGAGCCACCCTCGCCCGGCTTGCATCCCACTTTTTATTCATTGAGATGGAGTCTAGTGAACCCAGGTTAAATCATGACCCTGTAATCTCTGCTTCCCATGTGACTCGTCTTACAGGTATGAGCTACTGGACCTATTTTTCCTTTTCTTGATCTGTTTCACCAGATAGTTACCAATTTTATAACTTCTCAAGGGACTTTTTACTTTCTTATTTTTTTCAGTTGTGGGGCCTGAACTCTGGGCCTGGGCGCTGTCCCTCAGATCTTCAGCTCAAGACTAGCGCTCTACCACTTGAGCCACAGCGCCACTTCCGGCTTTTTCTGCTTATGTGGTGCTGAGGAATCGAACCCAGGGCCTTGTGTATGTGAGGCAAGCTCTCTACCACTGAGCCACCTTCCCAGCCCTTGTTTTAATAATTGTTGCACTAATTTTCTTATTTATTTTTTTCCTAAGCGCTTAAAATGGATGTCAGCCTCATTTGTCGGCCTTTTTGCATATAAAGCTACAGATTTTCTTGCAATTAAAGCTTTTAGCTGCATCTGACAAGTGTTTGGGTGTGCCCATGTGCATGCTCACACTCACTTAGCTCTCTCTTTTTTTTTTGTTGGTCATGGGGCTTGAACTCTGGGCCTGGGCGCTGTCCCTCAGCTCTTCAGCTCAAGGTGAGCGCTCTACCACAGCACCACTTCCGGTTTTCTGGTGGTTTATTGGAGATAGGAGTCTCACGGTCTCTCCTGCCCGGGCTGGCTTTGACCCGCGATCCTCAGATCTCAGCCTCCTGAGTAGCTAGGAATACAGACGTGAGCCACCAGCGCCCGGCTTCACTTAGCTCTCTTGTTCATGGCTAGTGCTCTACCTGAGCCACACTGGCAGTTGCAACTTTTTGATGGTTAGTGATGTGTCTTTGGATTTGTCTGCCCAAGCTGGCTTTGAACCATTACTCCTCAGATCTCAGCCTGCTGAGTACACAGGCAGGAGCCACTGCCCCGTTGTGATGCAGTGTGCTCATAGTCCTTTCAGTGCTTTCTAGTTTCTCTGATAATTTCTTCAGCAATACTTGTGTGATTTAGAAATGCTTCTTAAGTTTTACGCCTCTGAGGGGAGAGGTCTGGGGCATGTTTTTGTTAGTGATTTTCAGACAATGTCGCCCAAGTTACTTTAGTTACTTGATGGGAAAATACCTGGCAGGTGTGATCACAAGTTTTGAGATCCCGTGCTCAGTTACATGTGTCGGTTAGGTAAAGTATGCCGAGTTACACTGTACAGGTTCTGTTCACACCCATTTTTTCCTCAGTTAGTGAGGGAATTTTTGGTTGCTGCGGTGTGGTGACATGGACTTGTTTCTTCCTTTTTGCAGTGCCCTAGGCCTTGTGCGTGAAGGTCACTCTCTGCTGAGCTTCAGCCCTGCTGTGGCTTGTGCAGAAGTCATTAGGGGTGCTCTTTGGTTTCTTGAGTGCTCTGTAGGCAGATAGATAGGTCTTTGGTGCATCAGATTATCTGCCCTTGAGATTGGGGAATCTGTTTTCCTATGTATTTTGATTCCATGGTCTTCAAATATGCAATAGATATGTGAATTTGGAGTGTATGCTTAAGCATGTGCACGTGTGGGTCTTGTGGAAGTCTGTGTGAAGCTCTGCTCTGCCTCTAGTCCTCCAGCCCCCTGCAGAATGGCGCACGTAGAAGTGCGGTTTGGTCACTGTCTCCTCACTCAGTGCCCTTCGTAATGTCTCCCTCCTTCCTGGCACTGCATTAGCAGAGTTCCATACACTGGGCAGCCAGAGCAGCAGGAGCGTCTCTGGCTGTGATGGCCAGAGGTCCAATCATGGTGCCTGCAGGTCTGTGTTCTGGCAGTCTTGAGAGTTTTATGGCCATCGGTGCATCCAACACTCCAGTTGTTTGTCTGTATTCTCTGGGTGCATGTCTGTGTCTCTATTCTTGGGGTGCTGAGTTGGAGTGGGGACTGCAGCATGTTGGGGGTATCCTTGGCCAGCTCCCACCATGCTGAAGGGCAGTTAGGGACACGCGCCTGTTGGTGGTGGCTCTGGGCTCAGCTCTTACTTCCTAGGTAGAGTATTGGTGACCTTGACTTCTCAACCTTCAGGTTTTGTTATTTCTGTCCCCACGCATGTAGCAGGTCCGGAGGACTAGATGTGGCCAGCGCTGTCGGGGAGACCACAGGCTGCTGGGCCAGGGCAGATGTGCGGACTGCGGTCGAGTCGGGGATGTGGAGGATGGAAGTAGCGTGCCTTAGGAGAGCTGCGTCTCGAGGGCGGGCAGGGGCTGTGGCGGTACCAGGCGGCCTCCCTCTCTCCGTAGATGAAAGGCGCTCTGATGGACATCATCCAGCTTGCCGCCCTGGACTCTGACCCCTGGGTTCTCATGGTTGCCGACATCCTCAAGTCCTTTCCTGACACCGGCTCCCTCAACCTTGACCTAGAGGAGCAGAACCCCAACGTGCAAGATATTCTAGGAGAACTTAGAGAAAAGGGTGCGTAATGTGGCTTTATTCTATGTTGGGAAGAAGGTGGTGACGTTTCTGAGTTGCGTTTGACTTTCAAGTTGTTTACTGTGTACTTGGTGCAGTTCCTGAAATACGGTGTGTGCACTGGCCCTGTGTGCGCCTGTGAGCCCTCCAATCCTGCACGCTGCTGCCTGGCTGCACGCAGGTTATTGAACAACAAGCTTGTCCTGGCTGTAGGTCCTGTGCCTGCTGTGCTCAGTTGAGTTGCTCGCTGATACCTTTCTTGGCCACTTGCTTTTGGTCCCCAAAGCTGGTTGTGTTCTCCAGAGTCTGTGACACCACAATCTGTGACAGAACCAGAATCTTCATCCACGGAGGTATTGCTGGCCTAAAAATGTGGGTCGTCCCCTGGCCAGCATGTGGCTGTGAAGTACTTGGACATTTGCAGCCAGTTTTAGAGAACATGTGGGGAAGGCTGGCGAGTCTGTGCTGTGCCCTTTCTCAATTTCCTTCTGACTTTGGGGAGTTGAAATTGGGTCCCAGAGCATCTGTTCTGGGTGGTGCCCACACTGCGGGCTGCACACAGCCTGACCCCTGTGGCTTCTCAGGTCCCTTTTAGGTTTCCCCTCAATCTGTAATTGTTTCTTTTTTTGTTGTTTTTTTTCTTCTTTTTTTTTTTTTTTTGGTCACTCATGGGGCTTGAACTCTGAGTCTGGGCGCTGTCCCTCAGCCCTTCAGCTCATGGTGAGTGCTCTGCCACTTTAGCCACAGCACCACTTCCGGTTTTCTGGTGGTTTATTGGAAATAAGAGTCTCACGGTCTTTCCTGCCCGGGCTGGCTTTGAACCGTGATCCTCAGATCTCAGCCTCCTGAGTAGCTAGGATGACAGGCGAGAGCCACCAGCGCCCAGCTTGCTCTGTAGTTGTAAACACAGCTGTGGTGTGGAGAGCTTCTCCGTGGTGGCTGTCCTGAGGGGCCCAGGCCTGGGTGCAGCAAACTCACTTTTTACAAGTCTGTGCTTTTCCCAGGGTAGTTGGGAAGCTAACTCCTGCTGCAGGGGTCCTCTGACACCCTGGGGACAGCTTCCTGACTCACATGCTCGGTCACACAGACTCAGCTTTGTGCATCCTCCCGGGGCTGCATTCCCGGGGGAGCAGCCTGAGGTAGCCACGGGCTCTTCTGTGAAAAGACAGTGCGCATGTGCAGCGCCGCGTTCACCAGCCAGAAGGAAGGAAGGAAGGAAGGAAGCCTGTTAGGGCAGGAGAGTGGGTGCCGCAGAACACAAAGTAACGCCAGACTTAAAAGGACAAGTAAACAAAAAGTAGAGTGATCTGGCTATTAAGACTAGTAAGGAAGGAGCGGGGTGGGTGTGAGAGAAGGCGGAGCTGGACAGGGCGTGCGTGGAAGCAGAGGCCACCCCCGAAAGGGGTAAGTACAGTACTCACTGACAGCCACAGGTGTCCGGAGGCCGCTGCCGCCATGCGGGAGTGTGTGTCCTGCGCCCCCAGCTGACGGGCACCAGGGTGTGCCCAGCCTCTTCTGGGCCTTTCCGTGGTCCTTGGGTTGTGGAGCTGGAGCCAGGGCGCCAGGGTGGGGCCGGTCATGCGGGGCTGTCTCCGGAGCCCTGACTGTGCTTGGCCCTCTGCAGTGGGGGAGTGCGAGGCCTCGGCCATGCTGCCGCTGGAGTGCCAGTACCTGAACAAGAACGCCCTGACCACGCTGGCCGGGCCGCTCACCCCGCCCGTGAAGCACTTCCAGCTCAAGCGGAAGCCCAAGAGCGCCACACTGCGGGCCGAGCTGCTGCAGAAGTGTGAGTGCCCCTGCCCCGGGTCCAGGCCCCTTTCCACTCAGCAGCACCCACGGCTGGGAATGGGTTAAGGGCTGTGGTGAAAAGGCTCTTGGAAGCCTCCGGCTCCCCGGGAGCGCGGCCCACGCACAGAGCCCAGCCGCTGCCTGTGAGGAAGTTGTGCAGGGCGGCCTGCGGCCACGGTGGAACTTGGGTGGGTTCATAGTGAGCCAGGCACCTCCTTGTAACCCACCGCCGCCACAGGCGCTGACCGACGTGTTGTTTATTGTGCAGCCACGGAGACTGCGCAGCAGCTGAAGAGGAGCGCGGGGGTGCCGTTCCACACCAAGGGCCGGGGGCCGCTCCGCAAGATGGACACCACAAGTGAGGCGGGGGCACGCTGGGCAGCGGGCAGGCGGGGCTTACCTGTGGGGGGCCGGCCGGTCCCGCCCTCTGGAGAGAGAATGGGCTCTGCCCCGGGGCCTCACACACACAGAGCGCTCGAGGTGTTTGAGTATTGGCCTGAGGCCTGGGCGCATTTATCCATTCTTGATTGGGCTGGAGCTTCCCCAGGGCCCCCGTGCACCCCCCCCCCCCCGCAGGTTCTGGAGCCAGTAGTGTTCAGGAGCCAGGCCAGGCCAGCAGCCCCCCTGCCCTAGGGAGCTGGGGTTGCCTGCGCCATCTTGTCTTGCCACGTTTCTTCGACCCCGGTGCTCTCATAGAGAGCTGGTAGAGCGCGCTTGCCGTGGGCGGGCCCCGGCCCTCCCTGCAGGCCCCGCCTCTGCCACCCAGACCCCCGCCCGGCACCCTCCATCTCCACGCTCACCTGCTTCACCAGGGGAGGGCCTGTGGCCCTGCGTGTTCTTGGATGCAGTCCTGCTGCACACAGCTCAGTGGGAGCCTCTGCCCCACGCCAAGGGCGCTGGCGGGGAGCGGCCACAGGTGCAGTGCGCACCAGGGCAGGGCGCGGTTGGCCAGGGACCCGGGGTCTCCTTGGGGAAGTGTGAGGAGCCAGCACTCACGCCTGTGTGGAGGTCAGCACACAGATGGTGTCTGGCTTTGTTTGCTGTTTGAGCTGGGCTGTCAGTGCGAGGCTTTTCTTCTATGTAAGCGTCTCAGGTGGCCTTGGTTCCTCTGGGCCTGGGGTCCTTGGCCAGCTGGTATCCTTCCTGCTGGCCCTCCCAGTGTGCCACAGGCCCCTTTTATCTGCTGGGACAGCGGACAGCAAGCCTGCTTTTTGCAACTGTCACATCTGTGCTGAGCGACCCTGGCGGGATCAGCTCGTTTGGAGATGGGCAGACGGGCTGAGTGATGCGAGACAGCCCCTCCCCACGGTCCGAGGCAGCTGTTCCTGGCCCACTCTGAGGTCACCAGGGTCTGACGGTGCCTTCTCTCCTCCAGCCCCGCTCAAAGGCATCCCGAAGCAGGCCCCCTTCCGGAGCCCGACCGCGCCCAGTGCCTTCAGCCCCACCGGGAACCGGACCCCCATTCCACCCTCAAGGACGCCGCTGCGGAAAGAAAGGGGTGTGAAGGTGTGGTGCCCCGCATGCGTAGTGCCCCACAGGGCTGGGCCGGCCCCTGGTGCCACAGCTAAGTGCAGAGCTTGTGTTTACTTTGGCAGCTCCTGGATATTTCTGAGCTGGACATGGTTGGTGCTGGCCGAGAGGCGAAGAGGAGGAGAAAGACCGTGGGTGCGTGCAGGGCGTCGCCTGTCTCCGGAGGGGTGGGGGAGGGGAGGTGGGGGCTGCGTTGTTGCTCTGCCTCTGGGTGGTGTGTGCAGCTGTTGGGACCAGGCTGTGTGCCTGGGGCGCTGAGAAAGTCTGGGCTCCTCTCCCCATGCCACACCCTGCTCGCCGCTCCCACTGGTGATAGCCTTTTCCCAGGGAGTCCCTGCTGGTCGCGTGGAGACACCATGAGGTGCCTGTGCTGGTTCCCCAGCCCCTGGGTGGGACACAGGGCCTTGTGAGCCAGCAGGGCTCTTCGGGACTAACGCACCCTGCTGTGTCCACAGATGCGGAAGTGGTGGAAAAGCCAGCCAAGGAGGAAACGGTAGTGGAAAACGCCACGCCGGACTATGCAGCTGGCCTGGGGTCCACACAGGTACGCTCCTGTGTCCCTGCCAGCACCGCCACTCAGAGGCAGCGCCCGGGTGTGCTCCCTCTCGTCCCTGTTGCCAGTTGTGGGGTGTGTGTGTGTACGCGTAAGCACGGATGTGCGCGTGTATGGAAAAGGTGGGCATGTGTGTGTGCGTGTGCATAGCACAAGTGTGTGTGCATGTATGCATAGGAGAGGCAGCCAGGCCCGAGGGCTCCCATTTGGAAAGAACACTGCCCCTAGGGGCCCCGGGCCTCAAGAGGCCAGGTTTTCCCTCGGGTGAATTGTGGCCAGAGCTGTGTGCTGAGGCTGTGGCACATCTGAGGGGGCGTGACCCGCGTGGATGTTTGCTCCCGTGTTTCCCTTGATACACTACACTTGCGTGGAAGGCAAGGGATGCTGAGCTCCATTCCCAGAGGTGTCATCCAGCAAGCAGGGGTGGGTGAGGTGGGCTAGAACTTGGGGCCTAGCACCACCATGCCCAGGTTCTGTGGCCAAGATGAGCCAGCAGAGGTGGGCTGGAGGGTGCTAACCACCGGGTCTGCCCAGAAGGACCCTGATCTCTGTCTTCCAGAAACTTGGGTCTCTCAACAGCGAGCCTGCCCTGCCCTCCACAAGTTACCTGCCCTCCACGCCCAGTGTGGTGCCTGCCTCCTCCTACATCCCCAGCTCCGAGACACCCCCAGGTGAGTGTCCCGGGGAGCCCGGTGTCTGCTACGCGGGACGGGCCCTGCCGGCCTGGGATCCCAAGTCCTTCTGTGATGCCCCTCATCCCTGCAGTTACCAGTATGGGAGTGGCTCTAGGACAAGAAATAAAACCCCAGGCTCTGACCTGAACAAACAGGCGGTTGTCTGGCTTGGAGCCAGGGCTCCCAGCTACTAGGTAGAGGGGCCGGCCCTGGCAGAAAAGCCCGTGAAACCCCATCTCCAAACATCTTCCAAAATAATGGGTGAAGAGCCAGAGATGTGGAAGAAGTGGAACCCCAGTACTTGCCCAAAATGATACTTGGTCCGCAGCCGTGTTTGGCTTTGCTCAGCTGGTCTGTACCTGCAGCTGGCAGGAAAGCTTCGGGGCCAGGCTCTCCCCGGGTGGGGTCCTGACTGGCTCTGCTCTCTGGGTGTGGTGCCAGGGGAGGGAGGACTTTTCATCTTGGCAGCAGCAAGGAGTCACATCCACAGCGGCCGGAGAAGGGTGGGCATGGGTCTGGCTAGTGCGGTGGGTTGGGGCGTCCAGCGCCCTGCTCCCAACCAGGCTACCTTATCGCAGCCCCGTCTGCCCGGGAAGCGGGGCTGCAGGCCGGCCGGCCATCCGAGGAGCCCAGCACCCCAAGCCCCACACTGCCAGCACAGTTCAAGCAGAGGGCACCCATGTACAACAGCGGCCTGAGTCCGGCCACGCCAACCCCTGCAGCACCCACCTCGCCCCTGAGGCCCACCACCCCTCCAGCCACCACCCCCACTTCTCAGGCCCCCCCGGTGGCCATGGTGGCCCCACAGACCCAGCCTGCGGCCCAGCAGCAGCCTAAGAAGAAGCTGTCTCTCACGGTAGGCAGCCCTGGTGGGGGCAGACGGGAAGGGAAACCTGGTGCCCGATGGGGGATGGGGAGCTGGCGGGGGCCTGCTGGTGGGGCCAGTGGACTCTGGTGGCCTTGACACCTGCTTCCTGTCCTCCACAGAGAGAGCACATGTACGCTGCCCAGGAGATGTTCAAAACGGCCAACAAGATCACGAGGCCTGAAAAGGCTCTCATCCTGGGCTTCATGGCTGGCTCCCGAGGTGTGTCCTGTGGCTGCGCCTGGGGGGGTGTGGGCACGGGCTCCTTGGCCACCAGGCGCCTGCCCAGCAGCCCTTGTTTCCACAGAGAACCCGTGCCAGGAACAGGGTGATGTGATCCAGATCAAGCTCAGTGAACACATGGAGGACCTGCCCAAGGCGGATGGCCAGGGCAGCACCACCATGCTGGTAGACACTGTGTTCGAGATGAACTATGCCACAGGCCAGTGGACACGCTTTAAGAAGTACAAGCCCATGACCAACGTATCCTGAGTGCTGCCTACTGCCCGCCCCACTCACAGGCCCGGGGACCACGGCCTCGCCTGCCTGCCCAGCGTGTGCCCCCACCTGCACGGCCCCGGCTGCCTACTCTGTCATTTCTCGGGGATGTTTCAGGCTTTTTATATTAGCGTGGGTTTCTTGTTGTGTGAGTTAAGATACTTTTTTGGATTCAGTACTACATTTTTTTAATGTAAAGCCAAAAAAGTGACATCCTGCAAATTTTAGTGCTTGTAAACTTTACCTTTCTATTTTTTCCCCCTGAATTCCACTAGCCTAGGCGTGAGGGCTTCTCCTAGTGTGTGCCCCATGTGCACACGTGTCTCCCCCCTCCCCCCCAGGTTAAGAGGACCAAAGTGGCACCTGGTGAGGCAGGGGGGGGCGTGTGCCAGGTGACGGGCCTTGCCCCACCATGCCCTCCTGGGGTTTCTATTTGTCTTTTGTACAGTTGTGGAGATTTAAGACCTATTTTCACTGTAAGATGATCTGAGCATTAAAAGTTTAGCTTTTCTAAAGGAAACCCGCAGAGCTCTTTCAGGCCAGCCTGACTCTTTGCCCAGGGCCCAGCCTTTCCCCAAGCCAGGTGTCTGAACACTGCGGCCCCCAGGGAGTAGGGTTGGGTAGCAGGCAGGATCACCCTGAGGGCAGCCCCCTGGGGTGGGGGTGGACTTGGGGTGGGCTTGTGGCTGGGAAGGCCCTGGGGCTGAGCAGGGAGCTAGACCAGACCCTTTGCTTGACTCCACTTGGGAGGGAAGGAAAGCATTTCTTTAAACGAGAACTCTTGGTGCCCAGCACTCAATAATTGCCGAGGTTCTGCTGGCTTTCTGGCCGGCGGCTGAGGGGTGGAAGTGCTCTTGGAATTCACACCTCGGAGGTGGGAAGGTCAAGACAATCCCATATAGAAAGGTTAAAAAAAGACCTTTAAAAGTTTTTTTTTTAATAAAAAAATACTCATACACAGTTTTCCAAACACAACTTTCCACTTTAAATGCTATTTTCCCCAACTGGTAACTCTCAACTCTATACTTTAGCATATCCCCCCCTCCCCCCAAAAGAATGAACTTCAAGTTTTAAAGTCTAACATCAAACGTGGTGATAGCACCCAGCATTCCTAAGAGGAGCCTGACCTCGGGGCGTGTGACGTTTAGACACTGACAGGCACGTTTAGACGTAAATTTAATTTGACAGGGCATTCCACAGCTCAATGGTGTGGTGACACGGACGCCCACGGACACAGCTCTTACGCTACTAAAACAGTCAACTACACTTCTCACCAACGGAGATATTTGGCAACTGACAGTTGTGTTAATTTTAATTAAAACAGGCTTATCTTTCATTCTTGAAAATAAGGTAGTTCTGGAAGATGGGCACGTCACATGTCGTGCTTCGGATGTCAAGCTAAATACTTTGAGGGCATTGGAAGCGCTAACCTGAGTGTGCCAGGAAGTCCTGGGCGGCGACGCTGGGAAGGGTGGGGGCCCAGGCCCTTACCCCTTCATCCCACAAGTGACCACATTTACAACTGACCGCTTGGTCCCATCCCTGTGGACAGGCACAGGGGTGAGGTGGTCCTACTTTCCCAGGCCCATGGCGGGGGGTGGGGGTGGGGGGAGGGAGGTGGAGGCATTGGGCAGTTTTGTTTTGCTTCACATTAGTGACAAAGCATGGAATTAGATGGTCAAAATCATCAAATCCTCACAACTCGTCTCCCTCAGAACACTGGCCTCATCCATGGCCGGGTGTGGCCACAAGCTGGTCCTCCCCACGGGAAAGGTCTTGTTTTACTTGGTCTTAGGAACTGATCTGAGTTCTTAAAGTTAGTGTTATTTGCTCAATAATAGGACTTGCTTGCAAAGGAAAAAAAAATGTTTGCAGTATCTCAGGAAGATAAAATAATTTGGAATAGCAAAATGACTCAATTATAAGACTTTACCACAGTCAGATACAAAAATAAGTTAATCTGCTCCCCAAAGTGCACTGTAGAGCCAGTCCTGGTGTCTGACACGGACGCCACACTATGTGTGGGAAAGGCCCTTTTGGACGGGTGACAGTGGCCTGCCTTCCAGGTTCAGTGGCGTGAGGCGTAGGCGTGTATGAACCAGTCAGTATTCTCTGAGAATGCTCAGCAAAGATGGGTCTAAACTGCAAGCCATCTCGCAGCCGCTCTGGACAGGCCAAGCGCAGGCCAGCGGAACTCCGGAGGTGGGAAGGCTGGGGAAGGTACTTTTTCTTTTGGGCCTTTGTGTGGTTATGTTTGTGAGGCACTGTGCCTGGCGAAGGGACAATGACCAGTTGGTGGGCTCGTGGTGAGTGCTAGCGGAGGCCCTGGGCCTGCAGGTCCTCTGACACGAGGGGTCAGTCCTGGTCCAAAGGCAGAGTGCATTTGCACAAGACGGGAGGGTGGCAGGGAGCCGTTGTCAGGAGACCTGGTATCCAAAAACACTACTGAGCTTTGGCTGCCACCTACGTTCTGACAGGAGACCTGCTGCCTGTGCCTCCCCTCCCCCTCCCTCGGTGTTCTGAGCATCTGAGCACGGAGGGTCAGACAGAAGAGCCCTAGAAAATCGGAATCTCTTCTAAGGACTACTTGGTACTTCTTGGATCTCTTTGGGGTGGGCCTTTCAATTAGAAAGAGTTGACAACTCACGGAGAAACAGTTCCCAGACCTGGCCTCTGAGCTGGCTGGTGCTGGGCTTCGCACTGCAGACAGCGGCGGACGCCGCGGGGGAAGGCCTGTGGGGCTGGCACCCGCATCCTCATGGCCTGTGGTCTCAGCCTGGGCACTGCCCCCGGCACAGCCCACGTGACCACACCAGCAAGTGTGCTTTCCTGGGGATTTATGAAACATTGAGAAGGACAGCCAAAACCTGGTAGAGAAAAGTCAAATGAAAAAAAAAATGCTTTTTTTTCCAAATTCTGGTAGGAACTGGAGAGTTGAGAGGACAGGCCTGGGAAGGCCAGCTCGGAGCCAGCCGACGGTGCAACGTGGCTTTTAGGTCAAGTGACAGGAGGAAAGGCTGCAGCCTGCTCCCGCACGCGGGGCCAGCCTCTCACAGGCCTGGAAAAGACGCATCTTGAGGAAAAATTCACATTCGTTCCAAACCGCAAAGGAATGCTGTGGAATCTGGTTTGCCAGGTGTCCCGAGGCGGGATCCCGGGCTGAGGCAGCGCTGGGGCAGCAGCCAAATGTCAGGACAGAGGCTAAGTGGCTTTTAGAAGATCTATCCTACACATTTCAGTGAGATACACGTGTTCACATGCCCATTTGTCTTCAACTGTAACCTAAAAATCGGAGTGGGGGAGGGAGGCTGGACATCCTGGAGATGCGAGCACAGCGGTCCCGGGGGCTGAGCGGGGGCGCGGCTCAGCGGGCATCAGTGCAGACGCAGCATGGCTGCGGGATGGCTCAGTGGTGGAGGCACTCTCTCCCTCGGAGGCCTGGGTAGGCCACGGCTCTATGAGCCGAGCCAGGTGGTCGGGCCGGCCAGTGCCATACTCCCCTCCCCTCCAGGCAGGACTGGCCGGCCCACGCTGCCCCTGATCTGACCACGCTGCCACCTGGCGCTATTTGCCTTCTGTGACCCTCCGCCAACACCTCCTCCTCCTCCTCTTCCCCTTGGACTTCACAGGTTCTGGGAAGGGTTTCTCAGTCTTGGCACTTCTCACCGACTCTGCCCCCAAGTCATGCTCACAGCAGTAGGACTGCCCGTCCTGGGTGGCCCGGAAAGCCGTCCCGTCATGATGCTCCTTACAGAAGGAGTTGGGGCACAGGTGGCAGAAGGAGGTAGAGGGTTTGCCACACACGTCACAGTGGTGCCAGGGACATTCCCACTTTCCTGCAAGGAAACGCACCATCAGCATGCGGGAGGGACAGGTGCGACCTCAGCACCTCTGAGAGGGAATGCGGGTGTGCTGGGTGCGGAGGATGGCGCCCCGCTCTCGAGCATGCTCTTCTACTGAATTACACCACAGCCCTTTGGCTTCTTAGGAAAGATGAACTTTCTGTGTGTGAATGGGCTGGGCCTGGGGTTTGAACTCTGGGCCTGGGTGCTGTCCCTGAACTTTTATGCTCAAGGCTAGCATTCTACCACTTGAGCCGATGTTCCACTTCCCGCTTTCTGGTGGTTAGTTGGAATTAGGGTCTCCACCTCTCCTGCCCTGGCTAGCTTTCAACAGACCCTAACCTCTCAGCCTCCTCTGTAGCTAGGATTTCAGTCTTGAACTACTGACGCCCAGCTTAAAGGGTGAACTTTCTATGTAGCCTAAATTGTCCTGAGCTTGTACTCTTGCTGCCTCGACCTCCTGGACAGCTGAGACATGCCTAGGTGAAAAGGATTTTGGCTCTAATCAATACCAACACAAGACACCATTTTTCATTCAACTGCCAAAGAAAAGCTAATGACTGGTGCTCAAGGGCTATGTGATCACACATATGCATGTGTGCTTGCGTGCAATTTAAACTCAGGCCTCTTCTGATATTTCCACTCAATTCTGCTACTTGAGCTATGCCTCTCTTCTGGCGCTTTGCTGGTTAAAGATGCATCTCTGAGATCAGTTTACCTACTTTGGTTTGAATGAAGATTCTTAGATATCAGCTGCTGAGCAGTTAAGATTACAAGTGTGAACCCCAGTGCTTGGTGAAGAAGAAAAATTATGAGTTCCTCACCCATCCCCCCAAAACAAGAAGTGATAAAAAGACACGCACACACTATCTATCTATCTATCGTGTGTCTATGTAGTTTATATATATGTATGTATATATGTACGTATGTATACATAATATATATCTGTGAAATACTTCTTCTGAAATTGTGACTTTCCACCCTGAGGGTGTCAGCTCTGAGCTATGTAGGGCTGATGACAGCAGAGCCGACTCCTGCCATCTGCTTCTGTCTGTTACCCACAGCACCCCGACCTGACCTCATCTCTGGGGACAGCACCCACTCAGCCTGGACAAAGCCTCAGGGACCGTTTGGATGTGTGAGCAGTCTGTGCCACACCCGACTCCACCCACCCGTCCCGAGTGTGCGCAGACTGCCCTGTGAAGGCCTTTTTTCAGGAGTGGCTTGCCGGCCAGGCCTGGGCTCCCAGCAGGCTTCCTGAGCTGGAAACACTGACCACCCCAACTCTCAGACAGGGTCCAACCCCCACAGGCCCCGCAGGAGGGGCAGCCAGGCGCATGGCTCCGGCCTCAACACCTACCAAAGGGCCGCTTGCCCAGGCCCAAGCAGGACAGGTGGTAGGCCTTGGTGCAGGACTTGCGGTCACACAGCACCAGCTGGCCCCCGTCGCCACAGCGGAAGCACTCGTCCTCAGACCGCCTCTTCCCTTCCCCCTTGGCTCTGCGCCTCCTGCTTTTCTTCTTGGCCTTTTTGCCCTTTTCCTCTGAAGAGAGCGGCGCTGATGTCTGAAGAATTAGGTGCAGTTCAATAAAACACAAACTTGGAGCCAGAGGCCCAAGGAAAGCTGCAGCTGCTGCCTTCAGCGTCCCCCTGGGACCCCAGCCCCCCAGAGGCCCCCCCAGCGGGCCCTGCCCTCCACTGCAGCAGCAGTCCCCCGGGGAGGACACTGCTGGCGAGAAGCAGGTGTGGTGCTGTGAATGTGGGGTGCATAGAGAACGGTGTCATGGCCCTACCTTTGGTCTGTCCCCCAGGAACCCACTACAGTTGGAGGCTCCACACCGGCAGACCGTCTTTTCATTGCCCAAACAGTCAAGATTGTAATTAAAAGTCAGCTCTGTCCCTGGAAGAGAAGACAGCACCACGCTGGGAACTCTGCTCCCGTCTGGCTCAGGCGGAGATAGGTGTCCCCGGATTCACGTCTGCATCACGTGCCACCCGCCACCCCGAGCCCACAGCCGTGCCCATGCTGTGCCGGAGCCCCGGCGCTCTGGGACTGTACCTGCGGGAATGTCGCACACAGCAAACAGGCCCACGCGCGTGTCCCCATTCACAGTCCACTTGAGGGTCTCACAGTTGGGCTGGCAGCTGTGGTTCATGAATCGAGAATAGTTCCCCTTGGGGCCAGCATCGATGATGCGATCCTGCAGGGCAAAGTCAAATGAAGTTCGCAGACCCAGCACCCTTCCGGGACCTCTGCCCCACACGTCACTGCACCCACGTCTGCTCAGGCAGGACACCCCAAGCCAGTCCTGATTCTCTTGCTCAAGGAGAGCAGGTCAACACCACATGGAGAGGATCAGGCCCTGGTGAGCAGTGAGCCAGCACCCCACACCATCAGTGCCCTCCAAAACAAGCGTGAGCTGGGATCCCACACCATCTGCATCCCAAATGCAAAAACAGTGAGCCAGGCACAGGGCACAACCCAGGAATGGGTGTTGCGGGAAGCTGGAGGCTGCACAGGCAGACCAAACTAGTTGCCGAGGGCAAGGTGAGGCAGGCAGGGGACACAGGGAGGATGTTCACATCCTCCAAATGTGGAAGAAGTGCAAACTGAGATGCTAATGGGCTCTGACGTCACTTCCGTCACACGGACCACAACACTGCAGAGATGGAAAGATGAACTGGCTGAAGGAAATGGTGTTAAAAAAAAAAGTCAAATACAGGCACATGGTGGCCGGAGCCAACACCGAAAGCCAAGCATGAAGAGGAAGTGATGCCCGCCTGTGGTGGCCGGGCCGGGGAGACGCCTCATGCGCAACGCGTCACCGGGGGTCAGGCATGAGCAAGGCATCTCTGAGTGCGGGCGCCCAGACCCTCACACGTGGCGTGTTGTGGGTACCCAGCACTGGGCCCGAAAGCCACGGCAGGAAGGCTGTGCACACGCCACCCGCTGTAGGCACCGGCCCTGCATACCTCCTAGGAGACCTGCCAACAATCTACCCTGGAAAAGAAAGCAAGGCTTGGTATGATGCACTGTCGGTCATCCGGCTAGCCAGGAGACTGGAGTGGAACAACTGGGTGAGCCCTGGAGTTTGAGTCCTGCCTGGGCAACGCTGTGAGACCTCCGGAACCACGAAAAACTAGGTCAGGCATAATGGGTACACGGGTAATCCCAGTTACGGGGAGGCAGAGACGGGAGGACCACTGTTCCGTAAAAGCAAGGTTGCACCTGAAAATAAACTAAAACAGAAAGGGCCGGGCGCTGGTGGCTCACGCCCGTAATCCTAGCTACTCAGGAGGCTGAAATCTGAGGATCATGGTTCAAAGCCATCCGGGCAGGAAAGTTCCATGAGACTCTTATTCCCAATAAATGACTAGAAAACCGGAAGTGGCGCTGTGGCTCAAGTGGTAGCGCGCTTGCCTTGAGGTGAAGAGCTGAAGGACAGCGCCCAGACCCTCCCAGAGTTCAAGCCCCATGACAACAATAACAACAAAAAGGGGCGGGCACCTGGCTCAAATGGCATGGCACCTACCTAGCAAGCACAAAACCCTATGAGTTTAAACAGTGTGGGGATTGCAGCTGGGGATTAAACCCAGGGCCTTGTGCCCCACTCCAGGCCTCCTTCGTTCTGACAGGTGGAAGACACTCCTCGACTTCATGACACAGACTGCTGGGACTTGCCTAACACTTGTGCTTATAACACAAATCACTCCCTATGTGTACCCCAAAGTGTAAACCCATCTTAAAATGCATTAACCACCTAAATGATGTAGAAAACAAAAATGTGGAGTTACAAAATTTCAGTAATACTAGGTTTTATAGTCAAAAAGTGTTTTACATTATCTGAAGTTAATAGAAAACAAAAAGATTAAAGTTACGAATCCCTGTTAGCTTTTTTTTTTTTTGGGTCCGGTCGTGGGGCCTGAACTCTGGGCCTGGGCACTGTCCCTCAGCTCTTCAGCTCAAGGCTAGCGCTCTACCACTTGAGTCACAGCGCCACTTCTGGCTTTTTGCTTATGTGGTGCTGAGGAATCGAACCCAGGGCCTCAGGCATGCAAGCCAAGTACTCTACCACTGAGCCACCTTCCCAGCCCTCCCTGTTAGCTTTTGATTGTTGCACATGCTTTTATTTACTGTCTAGCGCGTCGTTCTCTTATTTTTTGGTGGTGCTGGGATTTTGAACTCGGGATCTCTGACTTGAGCCGCATGCAGGCTCCTCTGCTTCGTCTTTAGATAGTCTTGCTTCAGCTGTGATTGCAGACATGCACCCTCCCCCCGCCCCCTCACCCTGGCTTGTTTGTTGAGATGGAATCAACTCTTTATGCCCAGGCCTGTCCTGAACTTATTTTTCCAATCTGTCCCTCCCAAGTAGCAGAGGTGACAGCTGTGAGCCCCACACTTGGCTGTCTTTGAGCATCTGGCTAGAGATCTGACAACAGGTCTGTTTTAGACAGCAGCTTCTGTTGGTTTATTGTATTCCTGAATAGTTTCCTGTTTCTTTCTAGGATTAATGATCTTTTGGTAGGAAATGGACATGACAACACGGCAGCTCTAGAAATCAATTACCCTCCCTTCCCTGGGTCTGCAGGGGTTTTTTTGTTGTTGTTGTTGGTTGTGGGGCTTGAACTCTAGGCCTGGGCACTGTTCCTTCACTCCTCAGCTCAAGGTGAGCGCTCCACTGCTTGAGCCACAGTCCACTTCCGGTTTTCAGTGGTTTACTGCAGGTAAGAGTCTCATGAACTTTTCTGCCCGGGCTGGCTTTGAACCTCAATCCTCGTATCTCAGCCTCCTGATTAGCTAGGATTATAGGGGTGAGTCACCAACGCCCAGCTAAGGGTCTGCAGTTTTGTTACTGTCTGTTTATTATTTTCGGCTGCTCTGTTCATTGTTCTTGTGGGCTGTCTCTGAAGTGTGAACCTAAGGTCGTCTTTTACTCTCTCCTGAGCCTGTGCTGTTCTTGGGGTAAGCAGGTCACTCTCCAGCATTCCTCCTTACAAGCAGCTGCCAAAGAAGTGGGGCTGGAGGTGGTGGGGCGGAGCGTGCGCCTCCCCTGGAAGCGGCCTGTGCCCAGAACCTCACCGGGCTCACCGCCAGCCAGCGTGCCGTCTCCACAGCAGCCTCTGGGCCTGTGTGTGCCAGGGGGGCCTTTGGGGGGGTTGTAAACTGGGGGGGGTCCTAGGGAGGGCTAATTTTTACCTTTGTTCTTGTTTTTTGCTAGCTGTGGGGCCTGAACTCTGGGCCTGGGTGCTGTCCCTCAGCTCTGCAGCTCAAGGCCAGCGCGCTACCACTGAGCCACCTTCCCAGCCCCTTTGTTCTGTTTTTATATGACCTGTATGTTCTTTAATACCTCTTACATCCCCTGGGCTTTATTTCTGCTTCACTCAGATAGCCAGGCAAATCACTACATCACTGAACAACCCAGTTTGTGTTTTAAACAAGGCGAACCCCAGGCTAGGCTGACTTGGCTTTTGTTGTTCCGTTCTGTTCTGCTCTAGGTGCTGCTGGGACTCAGAGCTTAGTGTGTGCTGAGAGGCATTCTACCACCTGAGCCACGCGCCTTTGCGTTGGGTTACTGTCAAAATGGACTCTTGCTCATGTCCTGGGTGACCTGTGACCCCTCCTGCTTCTGCCTCCCTGGCTCACTGACATCGGACACTGTCTTGCTCTGTACCTGGGGTAACTAACAGGCGTGGGCCGCCATGTGTGAGTGTCTTGAACATCCTTCTTTTTGCCCGGACTGGCCTTCAACTATGTGATGGCCTGATCCTCTCCCTCCAAAGCAGCTAGGATTACAAGCTTGAGCCACTGCACCTGACTGCGACTTCACATTTCTTAACATACACAGGCAGCTGACCCCAGGTAAACATGTGAGACCCAATATGAAAAATAAGAATAAAAAAGGGGGATGGGGCATGGTGTGGGTGGTAGAGAGCCTGCCTACAAGTATGAGTAGATAGAAGAAAAAAACCTAGGCTCCAGACAACTCTACCATGTAGCTAAGAAAGTGTGAAATGTAGCCGGGCACCGGTGGCTCACACCTGTAATCCTAGCTACTGAGGAGGTTAAGATCTGAGGATCGTGGTTCAAAGCCAGCCTGGACAGGAAATTCCACGAGACTCTTATCTCCAATAAACCACTAGAAAACCAGAAGTGGTGCTGTGCTCAAGAGGTAGAATGCTCGTCTTGAGCTGAAGAGCTGAGGGACAGCACCCAGGCCCAGAGTTCAAGCCCCACGACCCAGCAAAAAAAAAAAAAAAAAAAAAAAGTGTGTGAAATGTTTCGACATGCACACTTCTCAACTTCTCATTTCTCCCTGGTGACCTCAGTGACAGCTTGCACTTTGAGGGGCGTACACAGCACTCAGGATGGTCTCTGCTCAAAGGCAGGTGACACCAAAAGACACCTACGCTCAGATGCTTGAGAAAAAGACAGGAGCTAAGAATACCAGCACAGTGCAGGGTCGTGCAGACGTTACCTTGTCTATGGTGAGCATGTAGAAGTGCGTGATGTCATTCTCATGCGCGTACTTGATCCTCGCCATGCATTCCTCCTCGTCAATAAGCTCACCGACATACTCGTTAACAAACTCTCCCTGTCGATCAGAAAGACGTGAGGAAGACACAGGTCATGAGGGCCAGTTCTCAACATCAGGCTCTAGGACATGGCACCCACCACAATCTCTCAGGTGTGGGGCCTACAAAGTCCTTACCAACCAGAGTGCCTCCACACAGTCCATAGCCTGGAACACCCCAGGCCTGTTGCTACAGTCCTGTCTCTTGGGCACATCTGAGAGCCACATGTACATGGAGTCATGTGTCAGGAGGCAGTCTGCTGGGGAGGACCTTTACAGGGGGTCTCTGGAAAGGGAGCTTTGGGGTCAGCAGGGATAGTCTGGGTCGAGGCTTGTGGGGAAGGCTCTGGGTAGCGGGTGCCATGGCTGAGACGGGCACGCTGGCAATGCTACCTTTGTGCTGGAACACCCCTGTCGGGGGCCTTGGACTGAAACCACCTCCCCTGGCCAGGCTGTGCCAAGACCAGTCCTTCATTATCTCTGCATACAGGATGTACTCGTAAATTTTACTGGGGACCAAGGTGAAATGAAATGTCAGCAGTCTAAGCCAGGTGCCAGTGGCTCACACCTCTAATCCTAGCTACTCAGGAGGCTATGATCTAAGGATCACCGTTTGAAGCCAGCCCAGCAACAAAGTCCAGGAGACTTATCTTCAATGAACCACCAAAAAGCTGGAAATGGAGCTGTGGTTTAAATGGTACAATACTAGCCTTGAGAAAAAAAAAAGCTCAGGGACAGTGCTTAGGCCGAGTTCAAACCCCCTTACTGTCCCCCCCCCAAAAAAAAGTAGTTTACTGTTGCTAATGACCCCATCCTAGAGCTGCTCTGGCCAACTCAGGGGCCCCTGAGCCCCTGACTGCCATTTGCAGGAAAGCAGTCACTACGCACACCACAAGAGCAAACAGTGTAAGGCATGCTTCAAAAGGGTTTATGTTGAAGGCTGGGAAGGTAGCTTAGGTAGAGTGCTTGTCTAACACTCAAGAAGCCCTGGGTTCAGTTCCTCAGTACCACATACACAGAAAAAGCCAGAAGTGGCGCTGTGGCTCAAGTGGCAGAGTGCTAGCCTTGAGCAAAAGAAGACCAGGCACAGTGCCCAGGCCTGAGTTCAAGCTCCAGGGGGAAAAAAAAAAAAAAGGTTTACGAGCATTAACTGATATCACTTATTTAACAATCTGCCATATTCAATTACAATAATTCAGTCTAAGAAGCAATTTTAAAATACCATTCTTACACAAGTTCAAGAAACAGCAGACAGGCAGATCTAAGGGGCCCAGAGCCTTCCCTTCTTACGAGTGGGAGAAGGGCAGGGCACACACCTTTCTGATGTCCCTCTTGGCCACCAGGCCCCAGCCTTTGCCGTCCGTCTTGATGATCTTGGTCTCGGGGTACTGGCGTTTGGTGAAGCACTGGTTCTGGCAGTGCTCCCCGGCAGGGCACACCTGCGGGTGGCACTCGAACATCAGCATCCTGTTCAGACACTCGGAGTCGGAGCCGCAGGGATTCTCGTCTGTGGGCTTACAGTTGCACTTGGGGATCTCAGAAATGTCGGCCGTGTAGATCTGGGCTTTCCCATAAGGCTTATTCACCTGCAGGAGACAAAGCCAGCCACCTTGGCTTACGAGAGCGGGCTTCCGGGCCCCCATACAAGCCCTACTGCTCACCCCTCCCGACCTTCTCCTAGCAGGAGCTGGCAGCCCAACAGGCCACGCGCCCCCAGTCCCCACCAGACCCGCACAAGGCTCCCGCGCCTGCCCAGCAAGCCTCGGCTGGGAGTTTTGCAAGGTGGGGCTGGTGTGGGAAACACCCATGGCAGCACCCTCTCCACCACCTCAACCCATCTGAACGTCTGTCTTCCTCACTCATGAATGAGAGCTGACGTTTAGCCAGCCAGCATGGTGTAAGATGGAGAGGGAAAGCAGACACTGGTGGCTCACACCTGTAATCCTAGCTACTCAGAAGGCTGAGACCTGAGCATCACAGTTTGAAGTCAGCCTGGCCAGAAAAATCCATGAGACTCTATAATCTCCCACCAACCACCCACGTCCTCCGCCGGCCTCGGGGCCCTGGGCCACTTCACTAGCCGCAGCCGTCAGGACTCAAGTCTCAGGGTCCCCGCTCACACAGCTGTGCTGGGCCGAGGTCGGCCTCTTCTCTGAGCCTGTCTCTGAGCCTGTGGCCCGGGTGGACGGCTTACCCCAAGCCCAGTGCCCTGGCATCAGACAGCCATTCTTTCCCTTCTCTGGCGATCAGGCTGAATCTCACTGTAAGGCAAAACTGCGCACAGCAGTCTTCCTGTGCTGTCACCACACCTGCGACTGACCCACCCCGTCCTGTGTCACCAGTGGTCCACGCTGGGCCACAGCTCACAGCCACACCCTGGACGTGAAGAGTCTGGAGCCTCCCACACACAGGGAGGCACAGACACCCGCACACAGCACACACGCGCATGGGCATACCACCTTGATGTGCTTGTACGGGGGAGGCCTGCGCTCGTTCTCCTGCGTCTCCCGGGCTTCCCGCTGAAGTTTGACTTCCCGGAAACGCGCTTCAGCTTCTTGCAGCGCTGAAAGGTCAGTAAAGATTTTAGTAAATAAAAACATGTACCTTCGAAGTTCTGTATTTTAATGACATAGGCTAACATTCACTGCTGAGCGCAGTGTCCACAAAACTGAAGGCTACAGAACCCTGGAAGGTGTGGTAGTTATGTTAAACATGGTAAATGGCTCTGACACAACAGCTCCAAGACATCCCAGTACTGGCAGCCCGAGTGCCTGGTGCCCAGCTCACACGGGCTGCGTCCAAGGGAGGAGGCCCAGGGACGGCTCCCATCGGGCAGCTGGGGCCCTATGCTAAGGCAGAAAGCAAATCTGGGGGGGGGGGGGGGGCCAGCTGAGCCAAGCCAGCCAGAGCAGACGGGCAGGTAAGCTGGGACAGGGCCGGGGCCTCTGCAAGGCACGGGAGCCCACCTCCCCAGAGGAGCGCACGCCCAGCTTACTAGGCCACCTCTCCCATTAAAGATTCTCAAGAATCTTCTGACAACTCCCTGTTGTCATCTGACTCCAGGCCTCTTCCCACCCTCTGCGTGCTGACAGCGTGCCACAGCACACGCCGGCGGCGGCGGCGGCCCAGCGCTGGCTCTCCTGGCACAAGTCCCACCAGCACTGGGACATCTCCCTCCTGCCTCTTCTTCCTCCCTCCACCCTCAGCGACTCCCAACTCCTGGGCAACGGCCACACCCAGTGCTGTTTCCTTCCTGCCGACTCCTGGCCTGGCCTGGCTGTGGACCCCAGGACAGAGCACCTTGCGTCTGGACAGGCCACACCCAGTGCTGTTTCCTTCCTGCCGACTCCTGGCCTGGCCTGGCTGTGGGCCCCAGGACAGAGCACCTTGCGTCTGGACAGGCCCACCTGACACTGTGACAGGCACCCAAGGCCTAGCCCTGTGTGCTGGAGGGTGAAGTGGCCACTGAGAGCACAGCACCATGGGAGATTTCTCTCCAGACCTGCCTCAGGCTGACCTGACACAGGCAGCTACAGGAAACACCTGTCGTTAAGGCTGAAAACAGTGTCTTAAAAACATCAGCTGGGCACCGGTGGCTCACGCCTGTCATCCTAGCTACTCAGGAGGCCGAGATCTGAGGATCGTGGTTCAAAGCCAGCCCTGGCAGAAAAGTCCATAAAACTCTTATCTCCAACAAAAACCACCAGAAAACCAGAAGTGGCGCTTCAGCTCAAGTGGTAGAATGCTAGTCTTGAGCTGAAGAGCTGAGGGACAGCGCCCAGGCCCAGAGTTCAAGACCCGTGACTGACCAAAAAAACCCCAAAAAACAAAAAACTTCAATGTTGGCACAAGTGGCTCACGCGTGTAATCCTAGTTACTCAGGAGGCTGAGATCTGAGGATCGCGGTTCAAAGCCAGCCCGGGCAGGAAAAGTCCACGAGATTCTTTATCTCCAATAAACCACCAGAAAGCCGGAAGTCGCGCTGTGGCTCAAGCGGTAGAGCGCTCGCCTTGAGCTGAAGAGCGCAGGGACAGCGCCCAGGCCCAGAGTTCAGGCCCCACAACCGACAAGAAGAAAAAGAAAAAGAAAAAAAACAACAGAGTAGCAACAACAAAACTTCACTGCACCTAAATGAAAGTCATTACAAATTAATACAGCAAACAAAATAAAGAATCAGCCTGGAAACCTACTCTCCTTTTCATTCATTTCTCTTGATGCCAGCCAGTACCAGCATTTGGGACTTAGGACCTTGGACTTCCCTGGCACTCTACCTCTTGAGCCACACCTCCAGTCTAGCATTTTTGGAGCATTTTGGTTGGAGACAGAATTTTCTGCCCAGGTTGGCTTCGAGCCTCCTGAGTAGCTAGGTTTCCAGGCCAGAGCCAGGTTTCTCTTTTCTGATCTAAAAGCCTAGCCAGAATACCTAGTCCAGTGTTCTCTATAAAGATCACATCTCTGAATCCAGAACACTTTGTCTAATATTCCCTATAATTGAGTTAGGGATACTCAGGAAGAGGAGAGGAGGGAATGGGGTAAAAAAGCAAGGAAAAAAGGAGGGCAAGTAACTGTAACTCAACTATGTGTGAGAGCAGCACAGGGAACAACCAAGTGGATGGTGAGGGGAAGGGGGAAGGGAGGGAGGGGGACTCTGGGTGGGTAGGAACTAGCCAGGAGCTTGTCTAGGCAGGGTGGTGATAAAGACCAATGCCATCCACATAGCCTCTCAGCAGCTATGAGAACAAGGACACCTGCTGGGAACGAGCAAAGGGAAGAGTGCAGAGAGTGCAATAGTGGAGGAAAGTGACTGGAATTCAGCGTCAACACCTGTGGAGACCTA